GGCATGGATCTGCTCTGAGATGCTCACAGTCTTGTCAAGAGTGAGGATACAGGGGAAAAAATAGCCAAGTGCCCTTGTGGCTACAACTCTGCTGTGTGGCCCTGGGAAAACCACCTAACCTCTCTGGCCCATGCCTCACGGGCTGTTACGGAAGCTAAGAAGAGCCCTGTGTTATTTCCCTGGTGCTGCTGTAACAAAGTAGTACAAAGTGGGTGGCTTAAGCAGTAGTGATGTATCATCTCACAGATCTGGAGGCTAGAAGTCCAAGATCGAGGTGTCAGCAGGGTTGGCTCCTTCTGAGGGCTCTGAGGGAGCATCTGCTCCATGCCTCTCCCCTAGCTCCGGGTGGGCTGCTGGCCGTCTTTGGTGTCCCTTGGCTTCTAGGCCATCACCCTGGTCTCTGCCTTTACCTTCACATGGCATTCTCCCCTTGGATTGTGGCTCACATTGGATTGGGGCTCACCCTACTTCAGTGGGATCTCATCTTAACCACTTACATCTGCAATAAACCCGCTTCCAAATAGAGAGGTTAGGACTCCAACAGAAGCATTTGGGGTGGGATACAGTTCAACGCACAACACGGTCTCGGACCGTCTCCCTGTGCTCCGGCCTCTCACAGCGTGACAGCTGGTTCCAGGGGGCAGCACCCGGAGCAAGTGTTGGGAGAGAGGCAGGTGGAAGTGGCCAAGCTTCTTTTAACCAACTCTCTGAAATCACACAGCATCTCTTTTACTGCATTCTGAGGCCAAGAGTGAGTCACACGGTAGGGGACCACATGAGGGTATGAAAACCAGAAGGGAGGTGGGGAGCCATTTTTGGAGACCAGCTACCCCAGTTACACGGCAAGCTCATACCTCTCCTGAACCCCAGGTGAAAGCTCTTGTAGTCCCTGTGTTTGTCCACCCTGGGTAGCTCACAGGGTTTGGCACAGGGGTAGTTGCTTAAGAAATGACTGTTGTGTTGAATTATGTTGTGAAGAGGTCTGCTCCGTTAGCAGGAAAGTGATAGGCACCAGCCCCTTCCCAGTTGGCTCCTTGTCCCCCTGCAGGCTCCTTTCCTTGGGAACTAGAGGATGGTGGGGGCCAGGGCCAGGGCCCTGAAGGATCCGAAGTTGGAACACAACAGCCCACTTTTTCCTGCCCACACACCTGGGCCTGCCACTGCGGGGGAAAGCCGCCAGGCAGCGTGAGTTTGCCAACCCCAGAAAGACCTCATTTGAAATGTTTTCTAAATCTTCCAAAAGAGGTTCTGCAGCCCCCACCTCCACCCCAGGGAGGGAGGAGAGGCAGCGAGAGGAAGAGAAGGAGTGGGTTTCCAGTCTGTTTATATTTCAGGCTATTTTGAAACCCCCTGAAGGCACTCACACACAGGGGCACATTTAAATGCACCAGGAAGTGCCCTTGGAGTGGAAACTGGAGTCGGAGGAATGCTGGGGCACTGCAGTGCCGGTCTGGTCTTCTGTCCCTCAAACAACCACCAATTCAGCCCCTTCAATGCCCGAGTCAGAGCCTCTCTGGCCGGAAGGGCTCTTAAAGGTCATCTCGTTCCTCCTTTCTCCTCCCTCCCCACCAAACACTTACTAAGCATCTCAGCATCTTCGTCATATCAATGATAGGACTCTTTTGGCCATAAGAAAATTTAAAAAGCACCCGGGCTGATCTAACTGAAAAATAAAGGGGGGTTTCATTGGCTTGGTTCACTTCAAAGTCCGAGGAGAATTTAGCCCCAGGTATGGCTGAAGCCAGCAGATTCAACGATATCATCCAGGCCTGGTCTCTGAATATTCCTCTGCTCTGCTCCCTCCATGGTGGCCTCATTCTCAGCATTTTAATGAGGCAGGAGGATGCCAGAAGCCCCAGACTCTCATCTTCAGGTCCTGCAGAAGATCTTAGGACGTGACGTTCCAATTGCCCAGGCTTAGTCACATATGTCCCCTCCCACTCCTCCCCCTACTCAACTGAGAGTGGAATCAACTCTGTCTGAAGTTCAGAGGTACCCTCCCACCCACCCCTCACCCCCAGACACCAGGCAGCAGAACTGTACAAGTGTTCTCATCCCACAAATGGTACCCATGTTCTCCTTTCATACCCCTCCAGTCATAGAGAGCCCACCAGCATGAAGCAGCCCCATCCTTAGAATTAGCAGGTAAGGACATTGAAACAGTTATAACTATATTGCATATGTTTTTAAAACTAGAAAAAAAACCAAACTGAACATGTTAAGTAGAGTGACAGAAGAGATAAAAGACTCAAATCAAACATCTAGATATTAAAATTATAATGTATGAGATAAAAAATACATTGGATGGAATTAATAGCAGAATAGGCTTTGAAGAAAAAAATTAGTAGACTTGAATACATCAATAAAAATTATTTTAAATAAAACCAGAGAGAAACAGGACATAAAAATAAAAATGAAGAGAGCATCAGTGATCTGCAGGACAACCTCAAGCAGCCTAATATATGAGTAATGGATTCCCCAAAGGAGAGGAGAGAAAGGGATGAGGAAAAGAAAAATTTATTAGAAAGAAAAATATTTGAAGAAATAATGACTGACATTTCCCATATGTGAGCCAAGAATTTCAATGAGGCCCAAGCACAAGAAACATGAAGAAAGTGACACTATATCAAATCACAATCAAAGTGTTCAAAACCAGCGTTAGATAAAGATCTTAAAAGTAACCAAAGAAAACAAATATATAATGTACAAAGGAACAAAGATAAAGACGACAGCAGATTTCTTGTTGGAGACAATGCAAGTGAAAAGTCAGTGGAACAATATCGTTAGAGTACTGAAAAACAAACATACAAAACCCAAAACTGTTTATCTAGAATTCTACACCAAGAGAAACAAAAACTTTAAAAAAGAAAGGTGAAATAAATACTTTTAAAGATATACAAACCCCAAAATAATTCTCACCAGAAGATCCATACAGTGGAAATATTTTTTAAAAGTCATTTAGGCAAAAGAAAAATGATATCAGATGGAATATGAATTTACCCAAAAGAATGAAAAGCACTGGCAGTGGTAATTATTAAGATAAAAATACAAGATTTTTTTTTAGTACTTAAATGTCTTGAAAAGATAACTGACTAACCAAAAACAAAGTAATGTAGAATTTATAGCATATATACTGTAGATATAAAATGTATGAATACAATAGCACAAAAGCTAAGAGAGGAGAAATGAAAATATACTATTTTAGGATTTTTGTACTTTTCATGAAGTGGCATAATATTGCTCAAAAGTAGAAGGAGAAATTAAATATGTATACTATAAACTCTAAATCAACCATGAAAATAACAAAATAAAAAGATATAGCTAATAAGAAAACAAAGAAGATAGAATGAAACCAGTAGTCTAAAAAGAAGGCAGAAAGAGGGGAGAAAGAGGACAAAGAACAAATGGAACAATTAGAAAACAAATAGTAAAATAGTATATTTAAACCTAATCATATCAATAATCACATTAAATATAAATAATCTGAAAACCTCCATTAAAAGACAAAGTTGTTAGATTGGACAATAAAGTAGACCCCACAAGATTCTGCTTAGAAACTTACTTTTAAATATGAAGACAAATGGGTTAGAAGTAAAATTATAGAAAAAAAATACCATGAAGCACTCATCAAGAAAAGCTGGAGTGGCTGTGTTAATATCAGACAAGATAGATTTCAAAGCGAATGACAAAGAAGACCATTTCAAAATTGTAAAGGGGTCAGTTCATCAAGAGGGCATAATCCTAAATATTTATGCACCTAATAAAGATGTTCAAAATACTATACAAGAAACAAAAACTGATAGAACTGCAAGGAGAAATAGACAAATCCACAATTATAATCAGAGATTTCAATACACGTCTTTAGATAATGGATAGAACAAGTGGATAGAAAATCAATAGGATGTAGAAGACTTGAACATTATCAGCCAACTTGACTTAGTTCACATTGATAGAACATCCTACCCAATACAAAAGAGTACACATTCTGTCCAAGTGCCCATGGAATGGTTATAATATATATTCTGGGCCATAAAACTAGTTTCAATAAACTTAAGAGAATTTAAGTCATGCAAATATGATCACTGATCAAAATGGAATTACATTAAAAATCAATAAATGAGAGATCTCTTGGAAAATCACTCCAATATTTGAAAAATAAATAATACACTTCTAAATAACCAAAGGTCAAAGAAGAAATTAAAAGGGAAATTATAAATTATTTTTAACTAAATGAAAACACAACATTCCAAAGTTTGTGGAATGCTATTACAGAGGTACTTGGGTGGAAATTTGTAGCACTAAATATCTGTTTTAGAAAAGGGAAAAAGTCTGGAATTTAAGACCTCAGCTTTCACTGAAAGAAACTAGAAAAAGAAGATAAAATTAAAACCAAAGTAAACAGAAGAATGGAAATAATAAAAATAGAAGACGAAACAAATGAAATAGAAAACAGAAAAATAAGGGAAACATTCATAGAACCATAAGCTGGCTATTGAAGAAGATCAATACAATTAATACAGCCATACTGGTCAGGAAAGAGAGAAGACACAAATTAGCAATATAAAAAGTGAGAGAGATGACATCGCTACAAATTTCACAGATATTAAAAGGATAAGAGAATATTATTAATAATTTTGTGCCAATGTAATGACTTAAATAAAATGTAGAATTTCCTTGAAAGACACAGGCTACCAAAGGTGAAGAAGAAGGAGAAGGAGAAGGAGAAGGAGAAGGAGAAGGAGAAGGAGAAGGAGAAGGAGAAGGAGAAGGAGGAGGAGGAGGAGGAGGAGGAGGAGGAGGAGAAATAATAGATGTAGTCTTATTAAAGAAATTGCAGTATAGTTAGAAACCTTCCCACAAAGAAACCCTCAACCTTCACTGGTGAATTCTATGAAACATTTAAGGAAGAATGATATCAGTTGTACACAAATTCTTCCAGAAAAATTAACTGGAGGGAATACTTCTCATGCTATGAGGCCAAAACCAGACCATGACATTACAAGAGAAGAAAGCTACAACTAGTATCCTTCATGTACAAAGTTGTAAAAATTCTTAACACAATTTTATCACGTTGGACTCAACAATGTATAACACATAATACACCATAATTACATGAGATTATTCCAGGAATGCAAAGTTGGTTTAACTGTTGACCATTAATCAATGTATTCACCATATCAAGAAACCACTGAAAAAGACCTCCATGATCATCCCAATAGATGCATAAGCACTTGACAAATTCATCATCTATTCCTTATAAAAACTCTTAGCAAAGTAGGAATAGAAGGTAACCTCTTCAACTTGATAAAGGACACCCCCCCAAAAAAAAACAGCACAAAATTACAGCTAACAATATACTTACAGCATAAATGCTTTCTCTCTAAGATCAAGAACAAGACAAGGATGACTTGTCCTTACCACGTCTATTCAACACTGTACTAGAAGTTCTAGCCAGTGCAATAAGGGAAGAAGAAATAAAAGGCGTTCAGAATGGAATAGAAGAAGTAAAACTATTACAGATGACATGATATTGTATGTAGAAAATCCAGTGCATGCTAGAATTAATAGTTAAGTTTAGCAAGATTGCAGGATACAAGATTAATATACAGATTTAATTGTATTTCTATATACGAGCAATGAACAATGATAAATTGAGATTAAAAACACTATTTATACTAGTATCAGAAAATATAAAATCCTGAAAAATGATGTACAAGATTTGGACAGGAGAGAACGACAAAACATTCCTGAGAGAAATGAAAGAAAACCTAAATAAATGGAGAAATATACTATGTTCGTGGTTTAAAAGACTCAATATTGCTAAGATGTCAGTTCTCCTCAAATTGATCTACAGAGTCCATGCGATCCCAATCAAATTCTCAGCAGGCTTTGGTATAGATATTGATAAGCGGATTCAAAGATTCACATGAAAATGCGAAGGACCTAGAGGTGTCAAAGCAACTTTGAAAAAGAACAAAGTAATAGGACTTACACTACCTGACTTCAAGACTTAGAAAGTTATAGTAATCAAAACTGAGTGGTGTTGGCATAGAGATAGACAAATAGGTCAATGGGATGGGAAAAAGACCCACACGTATATGGACAACTGGTTTTGCAAAGGCAAGCCAGTGGAGAGAGAATAGTCTTTTTATCAAATGGTGCTGGAACAACTAAATATTGCCACACAAACCAAGACAGGAAGAAAGAAAGGAAAGGAAAGAAACAAATAAACAAACAAAAAAAAACATGAAAGAAAGAGCTTTCATCTATGCCTCAGACCATATTTTAAAATTACCTCAAAAAGATCTAAATGTAAAAATCTAAAGCTATAAAATTTCTAGCAGAAAACATAGGGGGAAATCTTTGTGGCCTTGGGTTAGGCAAAAATTTCTTAGATGAGACACCAAAAGCACAATCCATAAAAGGAAAAGATAGACAAAGTGTACTTTGTTAAAATCAAAATAACTTCTATCTTCAAAACGCTGTTATGAGAATGAGAAGACAAGCCACAGACCGGGAAGACATTTTTTCAGATCACTTATCTGATAAAGGATTTATGTCCTGAACATATAAAGAACATTCAAAACTGGGATGAACAGATTGCACAACCCACATTTTTTTTAATGGGCAAGAGATTTGAACAGTTATTTCACCAAAGAAGATATAAGAATGGCAAACAAGCACATGACAAGATGCTCAGCATTATCAGCCATTAGGGAAATGCAAATGAATGCACAGTAAGATACCAGTACACGAATTAGAATGGCTAAAATGGGAAAGACTGACCATTTCAGGTGTTGGTGAGACCTGAAGCACCCAGATCTCTCATCCTTTACTGGTACAAACACGTCGGAAAACAGTTTGGCCGTCATATACAGTTACCACACACCTACCATATAATCCAACCCAGCGGTTCTCAACCTGTGGGTCGCGACCCCTTTGGGAGTCGAACGACCCTTTCACAGGGGTCGCCTAAGACTATCGGGAAACACATATAGCATATCAGATATTTACATGATGATTCATAACAGTAGCAAAATTACAGTTATGAAGTAGCAACGAAAATAATTTTATGGTTGGGGGTCACCACAACATGAGGAACTGTATTAAAGGATCGTGGCATTAGGAAGGTTGAGAACCACTGATCCAACCATTCTACTCCAGGCATTTACTCAAGAGAAATGAAAGCATATGCCCCCATATCCATACAAAGACTTGGGCATAAACATTCATAGCAGCCTTCTCCATAATAGCCCAAACCTGGAAACAACTCAAATGTCCACCAACAGGGAAACTGATAAACAAATTATGATAGAGCCATGCAATGGAATACTACTCAGCAACAAAAAGGCACAAACTCTGATCTAGGAGACAACATGGTTACATCTCAATATGATTATGGGGGGAGAAAAAGCCAGGAGTGCCTACTATATGATTTCATTTGTAGAAAATTCTAGAAAATACAAATGAATCCTTAGTGACAGAAAGCAGACCAGGGGAAGGAGGAATTAGAACGGGACTATCTTTTCCACAGTGTTGCTTTCATAGATGCATACACATGTCAAAGCTAATCCAACTGTATATATTTGAAATGCGTGCAGCTTAGTGTAGCTCAATATAGCTGTCTTTAAAAACCATATACACTTACTGGCCACTTATGTTTACAAATGATTACCTACCATTTACAAAGCATTTTTGGAGCTTCAGGGATACATTCATTTATTCAACAAGTATTTTTGAGCACCTACTACACTGTCACATACTCTACATGTACTATATATAGCCATATGCTCCTGGAAGGCCTAGGAATACTTCAGTCAACAAAACGGACCAAAAAATTTCTGACCTCTTAGAGCTCACATTCTTGGTGGGGGGAGTAGTGAGTGGGGAGACAAATGCTAACAAATAGTTTACCTATTTAATCTATCAGATGATGATGACTACTCTGGAGAAAAAGAAGCAAGGTTAGGAGCTAGGGAGTGTGGGGATGGGTGGGGTTGCAATTTGAAACAGTGGTCAGGGAAGGCCTGAATGATCATGTGAATATGAGCAGAAACCTGAAGGAGATGAAGCAAGGCATGTTGGTATCTGAGAGAAGAGACTTCTAGACAGGAGGAAGAGTATGCACAAAGGTCCTCAGGTGGGAATGTGTTTGGAGAATTGAGAAATGGCAAGGATTCCAGTGTGTCTGCAGAATGAGTGAGGAGATGAGGTCATGGTTGGGACAGGTCAAGTTCAGCCATTGGAAGCACTTTGGCTTTTATGAACATGCAATGAATTCTGCCCCTCGGAGAAGGGACAGGAAATCTATTAGTGTTTTCTGTGGACCTATCATGTGCCTTCTGCCCCGGAAGTCAGAACGACCAAGGGCCTGATCCATCTTATTGCACCAACGGACTAGTACCTGGATGGCACCCCGCCCTGTGCCTGGCACACAGCTGGCACTGAAATATTAACTGTGATTATCTTATTAAGAGAGTCATGGGGACTGGCTTCCTGGAGAGAGGCATCTGAGCTGGGATGGAAGGATTATTCTGAAACTACAGTTGAAAACTATTGTTTCTGGATAAGCCAGAGGGAACATTGGTCTTGTGGCCACTGTCAGCCTCTATGTCCAGGCCTGACACCACGCCTGGAAAACAGCAGGAACGCAGTACATGTTCGTTAGATGAATAAACGATGGAAGGAAGAAACGAGTGGGTGAAACGGTGGCACATCAGAGCCTGACACAGACCTTCCTTTTCTATCCAGGGACTTCCCAGAGCCCCAAGAGACCCCAGGCCCTGAAAAAAAAAAGACCCCACATCCTGGAGTCAGAGAAGCCAGGATTCGGATCCAGCTCCACCCCTTTCTGGGAGAGTGTGGGGGACCACTTCATGCTCAAAATCTCAGTTTTGTCCTCCGCAGAATGCAGGCAATAACAATATCTACTTCACGAGCTGCTCACGAGGACCAAATGAAACAATCAAAGTACCGGCCACAGAGGGGGTACTCAACAGACTTGAGTTTTTGTTGAGTCCTACAGGTGGCAGGACCTGACCTAAGGGCTTTTTATGGTTTAACTCTAAATTTAAGCATTACACCAACCCTAGGAAGTAGGCACTCATAGTCTCAACCTGTCTACCAGAGAGGTTCAACAACTTGCCCGAAGTCACACAGCTAGCAAGTGGGGAAGCTGAGATTTGCATCAGAGTCCACGCTTATAACTTACGACCTCTGCTCTTTTAGGTCTCTCCCTCTCTCTTCCTCTAACCAGACTGAAGATTGGGGCTTTGTTCACTGGGCAAGAGGAAGCTACTAGAGATCTTGAGGAGGAACTAGGGGATCAGACCTTTCCCGGCCTCCTGCCTAAGGCTGGAGGCGCACACAGGGAAACCAAGGGGCGAGGGGGGGATTTGTGCCAGAGAACGCACTGCTGACTGTCCCCTCCAGGCGCTCCCAGCTGTGCTCGCTGTAACCTTGAAGGAAGTTGGGGAACAAGCCCTCCAGAGCCGGACCACCCCTGTGTTTGGACAAGAGTCAACTGGGTTCCTGGGTAAACCTTGGGGTCCAGAGCCTGTCCCCCAAGAGGGACTCTTGCTGGCAGTGACCTGCCTGGCCAGGGAGGAGCCCTCAGAGGTGCCTGGGCTGGTTGTCTGGGCGGGCCTCACGGCAGCTGTAATTGTTGGGCAGCAGAGCCCAGGCTGGGCCCTTTATGGAGACATTTATAGCCAGCCCGTCTGGGGGACAATTCAAGTGGTTTTCTCTCTTTTGTGTCCCTTTAATAAGCGAGAAGAAGAGACATCAAATTAAAGCGGATGCTGGAGAAACTTGGCTTTGCTGCGCGGCCCCGGGGAGGTCAGGGGAAGGTTATTCTGCTCTCTGACCCGGAGGCCCGGAGCTTTTACCACATGCTTTCAAAATGCACAGACTCAGATGTCCGGGCTAGTCGGGCCTCTGAGGTCACCCAAACCAGCACTCAGCCTCGTGCAGTGATCCCTGCTGGCACGTTTGCAACCTTCCAGGGATGGGGAGCTCACTACCTTTAAAGTAACTGCGCTGTTGATCAACAGCTCTCCACAGTCCCTCTTCTTGGGGGCCGTGGAATCAGACAGACCTGGAGGAAAGTCCCAGTTCTGACGCTCACCGGTGTCGACATCAGCCCCTGAGCAAGCGCTCCCTGCCCTATGAGTCTCCTCTGGCAAATGCCATTCATTCATTCCAGGGGTCCTCAAACTTTTTAAACAGAGGGCCAGTTCACTGTCCCTCAGACCATTGGAGGGCCGGACTATAGTTTAAAAAAAAAACTAGTCGGCTGCTAAGCAACAGGCAGCGGCGGCAAAAACACCCGGCGGGCCGGATAAATGTTTTCGGCGGGCCACATGTGGCCCACGGGCCGTAGTTTGAGGACCCCTGATTCATTCTAACAGTATTTGGTCTTAGCGCGGGTTTCCCCAGGCTGAGACAAGGATTTGAGCGCATATATTTGGGAGATGGTCCCAGGAAGAGCCTCGAAGAGGGAGAGACTAGGACAGGGAAGGTGTTGTGGATTGAAGTGTGTTCCCCCAAAAAGGTGTTCAAGTCCTAACTGCTGGTACTCGTGACTGTATTTGGAAATTGGGTCTTTGCAGATGTAAAGGAGTTAAGATGAGGTTGTGTTAGATCAGGGTGGACTCTAGTTCAATGACTGGTGTCCTTATGGGATGAGGGGAATTTGGGCACATGGACACACACACAGGGAGAATGCCACGTGAGGACGGAGGCAGAGGTTGGCGTGATGCTGCCACAAGCCTAGGGCTGCCGGCAGCCACCCGATTCCAGGAGAGCAGCATGGGACAGCTCCTCCCTCTGCTTCCCCAGGAGGAACCAGACCTGCCCACACCTTGATGTCAGACTTCCAGCCCCCTGACCGGAGAAGAATACATTGCTGTTGTCTTAAGCCGCCTCGTGGGTTAGGGCAGCCTTATCCAGCAGGGAAGGAAGCAATCGACAAAAAGGCAGTGTGGGTGTTCAGCACATTGCCACTGTGGGAAACTGAGGCTGGGTCCCCCGGGGAATGCAGGGGGATCGGGATAACGTGCCAAGGGGCAGGGGCAGGGGTGTTTGTCCACCAGCTTCCATCAGTCCTTGCCTGAAGGATGCTCCCAGGGACACTGACCCTCGACACTGTGGCCTCATCATGTGGACAGGGCTCAGCAGCCAGAAAAGCCCCAGTGAGAAGCGCAGGTGCTGGCAGTTGGAAGTGTCAGGGGTTGTAGCCCAGGAGAAGGGTGCTGAGGGGGTGTGGGTGGGGCAACAATGGTATCTTGCCAGATCTTTATTGGGTGCCTACTGTGTGCACAAGGCACCATTCTAAGTACATGGGATGCAGCTCCTGGGGATGGGCCAGGGCTGCCCTCTGAGAGGGAGACGGGCAGTGACCTAGTAAACCAGGAGGCAGCCTTATGCCCCAAAGAGCAGGAAGGGGGCCCATGGGGATAGGCAGTTGGCCAGGGCCTGTGTGGATGGTGGGGGCAGCCCTAGGTGGGCCTATCTGGTCAGAGCAGGCCTCTCTGAGGAGACCTGAATATGGAGAAAATACAAAATTCAGGCACCTGGTGGAACAGCATTGCAGGCAGAGGGAAGAGCCAGTGTGGAAGCCCTGAGGAGTTGGAGGGCTGCCGTGAAGATTCGGTCACTCCCCACCCCGTGCTCCTGTTCCTAGTTCTGTCCTCTGGTCACGCAGAGCAGTAAACCCGCTCCTGCTGCAAGAGAAGCCCTTGAGAGGCGGCGGGCACAGGGGTCAGTCAGGTGGATGCACCTGACTCCCCCACCCCGCAGCCCTTTGACCTTGGACAAGGCCTTCAGTGCTGAACCTCGCTTTTCCTCTCTGTGACTGGCAGTGGTAACCCTGTCCACCTCATCAGTTGATGCAGGTTTTAAAGGCTGCCTTTTCCCAGGCAGGGGAAGGGGGACTCCTTATGCATTCATTCCTTCAGGAGGCCAGGTGACCGTCAGCAAACGAGCAAACGTTCTTTGTGGTGAAGGAAAGTCGTCAGTTGCCCAGTGAATTCGAATAGCATTTTTATACTAGAGGCCCGATGCATGAAATTTGTGCATGGGTAGGGTCCCTAAGCCTGCCCAGCGATCGGGGCCGATCTGTGGGGCAACCGGTGGGGTGATGTTGGGGGGGAGGGCCCTCTGGCACCCGTCTTGGCTGGCCTGGGGCCTGCGGGCTGGGGGCAGCTCTGTGTTGAGTGTCAACCCCCTGGTGTCAGTGCACGTCATAGCAACCGGTTGTTCCACCCATCATTCCGTCATTCAGTCGATTTGCATATTAGGCTTTTATTATATAGGATATTTTTGTACATCTTTAATTCATCAATTTTTAAAAAAATATATATCTTATTGATTTTTTACAGAGAGAAAGGGAGAGGGATAGAGAGTTAGAAACATCGATGAGAGAGAAACATCGATCAGCTGCCTCCTGCACACTCCCTACTGGGGATGTGTCTGCAACCAAGGTACATGCCCTTGACCGGAATCGAACCTGGGACCCTTGAGTCAGCAGGCTGATGCTCTATCCACTGAGCCAAACTGGTTAGGGCTAATTCATCCATTTTTAAAAACCCTGGGAATGTCCAAGACCCCGGGAAGGGAAGAACCGATGGGAAGTGAGGGATACTAGGCACTGGCTCCTGCTCCACACGTTTGCCTTTCAGTCCTCACAATAAGAATAGGGCAGGAGGTGGGAGGGTGGGAGGGGGGAGATAGCGTTAATTTCAATTTTTGTTACACACTTAATACATGCTTTGTTGGGTTAAATCTTTTCCAATGATTTAGGATTGTGTGCATATGAAATGAAAGCCTCTCACCCCTCTCCCTCCTGGTACCTTTCCTGCTACCTGTGTGGGTGTTTCCATGCACAGCAAACATGTACATGTGGGTTTGGGTGTTTTGTTTTTAACCCATGTGGGACCATATTTGCTCTTTTTACTTAGTGCACCGTGGACATATTCCCGTATCAAACACCCCGAGGTAGAAGTGAGCGCTCTTTGCCGGGCTTGGAGGGGAGGAGTATTTAGCTCCAGGTGTCACCGGTGAGGGGCAGAGTCGGGCCTGGGACCCACGTCCATCTTCATGAGAGCCACAGGCCTCCCTGATGTGCTGGAAGCTGCCACTGGTCATTCTCAGCCTCTCAGCGGGAGCTGGTGGAGGAGCTTCCTCCTGGAGGCAGGGCGCTGAGAGGGAAACTGAGAGGACAGACCTTTCCAGGGCAGGCGGTGAGCGCACAGGGGGGCTGGGGGGCTTGTTCAGAGAGGAGGGTCCCAGCCATGGGCCACCTTGAGGTCTCTGCCAGGTTCCCACCCATCTTCACCTTTTTAAAAAAATATTTTTATTGATATGAGAGAGGAAGGGTGAGGGAGAGATAGAAACATCAGTGATGAAAGAGAATCATTGATCAGCTGACTCCTGCACGCCCCCTACCCAGGCACGTGCCCTAACCGGGAATCGATCCGTGACCTCCTGGTTCGTAGGTTGACGCTCAGCGGCTGAGCCGCGCCAGCCGGGCCATCCTCACCTTGATGACACCCTTGCCTCCCTGTCTGTCTGAGCCAGCCTGAGCCCTGAGCCCTCGAACCGTGACCTCCTGGTTCGTAGGTCGACGCTCAGCCGCTGAGCCGCGCCGGCCGGGCATCTTCACCTTGATGACACCCTTGCTTCCCTGTCTGTCTGAGCCAGCCTGAGCCCTGAGCCCGTCCCAGCTGGTGCTGGCTGGCATGCATTCTCTGCCACCTCACCTGGGGCACAGCACGCACATGGGCTCAGTGGTGCGCATTGGCCTGCCTCCCACCCTGTGCGAGCTCAGAGGCCTCGGGTCTTCCCCTCTGGTGGATGCTGGGATCCCGTGAAGTATCACAGCAGGTGGTTGTTCAACTCTCGCTTGGATGACTCCAGAGACGGTTAGCTCATGACCTAACGAGGAAGCTGGTTCCGTCTTGGATTACTACATGGTTGGGTGGCTAGTGGGGTGGGCTTGTGCCGTAGAGGCAGACCCAGGTGCTGGTGGGGAGGATAGAAGAGATGATGAATGTAAAGTCTGTCTCTTCCGGTTGTACGAGGGCTGGGCGGGCTGAGGGAGCCTCAGTGTCCCCTTCTGGCACCTTTGGCTCAGTGTTTCTCTCACTGCAGCCCCTTAAGCCATTCATGAGCCAGGATACTAATTCAGAGGGCTGTGAATTATAAAAGGCCAGAACAGAATAGGGTAGAAAATGTCGGCATGCATCTCAAGCAGTTCAGGAAAAGACTTGTTTCTTGAAACTTCTGCTGTCAGCCTGGGGTCAGCAGGCTGGTTCTGTGGGCAGAGGGGTGGGTGCAGGCCTGGTGGGGGCAGGGCCTCCAGAGCACGGAGGGTGGCCTGGAGGGGCTCCCAGGCCCTGGCGCCTCTTCCTGCCCCACCGGCAGGAACCAAGCAGGGGCCCCAGGGGCGGTGGGAACAGGGAGATCCTCTCCGCTCTCCCCGGTGCAACCAGTGGGCTCTGAGCAATCCCATAAATCGTCTGCCCAGAGTCAGGGGCATAGAACTCCCTGATTTATGCCTCCCTGGGCCACCCCCTCTGCCTCCCTCCTGGGTTTTGTGGGGCCAAGGCCTGGCAGGCTGCTGGCTCCAGACAGCCCCTGTGGTTGCCTTGGTGACCGGTTCAGGCTGGGCCATCATCTGAGCTCCTGTGCTTCCTTCTGCTCACATCAGGGCTGACTTTTTAACCAGCGCCACGGGGCTTCTCCTCCAGCAGCCTGCCCCCTCCCAGGGGGCCCACGTCCCAGTGAGGCCCACGCATGGGTGTCACAGTGAAGCACAGATGTGAAATCATGCTGACATGGGGCAGTGTGGGGTGCTGGGTGAGTGCCTGGCCTTAGAATAGGGGACCAGGGTTTGAATCCGGCTCCTCCACTTCACAGCTGGCGGTGTCACAGTGAAGCACAGATGTGAAATCATGCTGACCTGGGGCAGCGTGGGGTGCTGGGTGAGAACCAGGGTTTGAATCCGACTCCTCCACTTCACAGCTGGCAATGACAGCATCTACCCCACGGCCTGTCAGGAATCATCCAGTCGACAGGCCAAGTGCGGGCCCTTTCACTGGCACATAAACCTTAGCAAGTCTCAGTTGCCTCATCTGTAAAGTGGGTATAACTACATCCCGCTCGCTGCGCTCTCCAAGGGCTGGCAACAGAGTCCCACGGTATGTGCTCCACAAATGTGAGTGGATAACGAATCTCAGGTTGTAAAGATTCCTGAGTCTAAGTGTGGTGGATAAAAGATGACCATAAATCCCTGACTCTCCTCCCATTGGGATGTGGGGGTTTGATTCCCCTCCCCTGGAATCCGACTGGCCTTAGTGTTGGCTCGCAACCCACAGAATGTGGCAGGAGCGATGCTGCGGCCTCCCGGACCCGTCAGGAGGAGCCCTGCTGTTTCTGCTTTGGTCTCCAGGAGCCTCCAGTCCCCCTGTAAGAATCTGACGACCCTGAGCAGGTCTCGCGGGACAGACCGCGTGGAGAGGCCCGGAGCCACGGTGGAGGCAGAGAGGCCCGGACAGCCCCCAGCTCTTCCTGCCCCAGGTGTTGGAAGCCTCCCAGTGCCGACAGACATGAGCTGTCCCCACCGAGCCCCGCCCAAATTGCAGGTTCATGAGCAAAAGAAATAGCTGTCATTGCTGGAAGCCACTAAGTTTGGGGTTGATTTGCTCTGCAGCAGGGATTTTTTTAGAACAAAATGTAAAGCCCTGGCCCCCTGCCTAGCACATAAGGAGCGCTC